GGAATTCTTTGGAGTGCAAGTAAACAAAGCAAGATTTGTTGACAGAATAACAAGTGCTACTGAGAACACGCTAGATTCATTGAGCTCCAAAAACTGCGGTCTCCATTCAATGATTCGAGTCAGACATTCAGATTCTCATAACTTTAAAACCGCTGGTGTTACAGCCATTCAAATGGTTTTGACCTAGCAAGCTACAGACAGCAACTTTGGACAAGCATGGAGAATCCCTATCGTGTCTGCTCAACTCTTTGGGATTTCTAGTAATTAACTATTTTTCTACCATCCAGAGCCGCCCTGTTCCCTTGAGTGCCCCGAGGTGTGTGCTGAAAAAGTAAGGTGAAGATTCATACAAAGTGAGATGAAAAATTAACTCCTCATGAAGGCGCACTGAGAATCGGGATAAAGGGTCGCATACTGATCCTACCTGTCACTTTAAGACTACTTTATGCTGAATTTCCACTTACCTCGGACTCTGAGTTAGGTCTGGGTCAAAAACATCAGCAAAACTGAAGAACAGGGCAACAAGGCAAACACCTCCGTGGTCGCTTTCCACAAAATTCTCCTCAATGGAATGAATCTTGGAAGTTTGCGATCCTTAAACTTCTAGAAAATAATTTGAATTTTTTTGGATTTTCGGTGACCTAAACTAATATGTACAAAATGAAGCATTGAATTTGGATAACATGTTAGCCAACTTTGACCAGAAGGGTGGAGAACACTGCAGACTGTTAGATGTTGGCTATTTTGAGTGTCGGCCCGGGGGGTGGCGAATTAGGAAAAGTTGAGCCTGCCAAACACGCATACACCAAGAATTAACAGGGTTGTCTACGGCCGCTGGAGTGCGTTGGAATCAGAGATCTCAACGAAGGTTTGCTTGAGTGAGTCAACCAAGATTATGTCGGACGTACCGCTGTTCGGGACAGCAGCATGTTTGTTTGCGCGGAGATGTATGTTGAAAATCACCTGCTGTGCAGTATGTCGCAAAGTATTCTGACTTAGTTGCATGTGTAAGTCCGTAAATCGCACGCACGGACGGACGTTACCCGAAGCGCCAAGAAGAATACACTCTATCTGAGAGTAACACCAATCAGTATATTGGAAAATACCGGGACTAAAGGCTGGGAACTTGTACACAGGTGTCAGCCTAGCTAGAGGGACTTAAGTGCAATCGAAAGCCATCTGCAGATAAACAAAGCGCTGGTGTGGAGAAGCAACAGAGAGTAAAGGTGAGAGACGTTTACCGTGGAAGATGATCGGTCAATGAGTCATTTTGCACGCTCCCAACTCTTGCACTACGCAAACCCCCAGGAGATCGTTTCCGGGTACCTGTTGGTCGTAGTAGATTACGTAGGGACCTTGTTTCAGTTTTAGAAGAAATGCATTTAAACGACAAAAGGAACTGTACAGAAAGTCACCGTCAGCTTTGTGTCACATACCGTCAGGAGGTGTCAGAGTCATGTCGCAACGTATAGCTATTTCGCTATTCTAGAAGTCATGCGTTGTACGCGCAGAATGTAGACTCTATCGCCAGTCAAACCCCTGGGTACGCATGTTGTAATCTTGACATTTCCTTCCGGAAAATTTTTGACTAACGGAAGGCGTGTTCTTGCATAAGAGGGTTTCTGATTACTGAAATAATTCGAACCTTCCGGACATACTCTTTAAGAATGACAGCAAAACTCTCCAGAGCGTCAATCTCCTATCCAAAGACACAACCGTATCCTAAGGCACAAAAATGCAGGACTAATCCAGAATTTAAGTGGGCGCCAGAACGGAAATTGACCAAAGTGAAAAGAATACTACATAAACTGCCAAGTGCAGTGATGATCATAACTGGCCGCTGGAAAGCAGCCTATTAGTCGTACCTTAACCGTGGTATACTTAAACTTAAGGCACGATTGAAAGTCACGCCCAAAGTGTAAATACGAACTATACCTGGGAACTACAGGATAAAAGTTGACAGTACCCGCTGAAAAGTTCCAATCTGTCGATGAAAGCAAAGTAGCCTGTATTGCTTAAAAGCACAATATCACTGAAAACTCTTCGACAGCCCACAACCGATTTCGTCCTTCTTAGGATTCATTATGTAGATGCAACCTTAAGTTTCCATCACCATTATGTTCTGCTTGAACCTAACGAAATTGCACGAATACGCTCACTTGCGTATCAAATCGAAAGGCACCCAAAACTCAGTTACATTTAAAGAATACATCACAACTGAGATATTCAACTGGATTTTAGGTGCATCCCATGAAATCCTACTCGGTATGCAAGTAGGTGTATATTTTGTAGGATGTGGCTCAGGATGTATAAGTTCAGAAGCCAGCAAATTTGTTTGGGTTCTGTGTAAGCATTGGTCGAGTGCAGCCCTGATTACTGAACATTGGCTCATGAAGTTTCTTCCTGTACACCACCCATGGGAACTTCCATGAACCCTGCCTTCGGCGAGTCCCGTGGGGTTGCATGTGGAGTCTTACTTTAGAGAAATCATTCTCGGCCAAGGAACTTCAACTAGCGCACCGTACGTTAGAAAATGGAAATACGACTTGTCATCTGGAGACCAATGAGGCAGAGCGAAAGGGACGATCGCATACGCAGGGTAACCAATCCGGAACGGTCAATCCACATATAAGTTGTAACATTGGTAGAACACTACAGGGAATAGGCCCTAAGTACCGCGCAGTTTTGTCCACAAGAAAACAATCCAACGTAACTTCAATGATAGCATTTTCGCCGAGGCTATCAGAAAACGGATCCTTACATGGAAGACTGTGCGATACGAGTGTAGAGTAGAGATCAGCAATCCAGCAACCGTGGGACGCAAATTTAATTCACAAATAAATGTTTTTCATGACTCACTGCAATCAAACTGGAAGTGGAGTTCATTTAGTTAAAAAAACAATCTCACATGAGCAAATAAACGACTTACAATAGAACGCCCACAGGACCAGTGGTCTTATGCTAGTCATTTAAATGACCGGGTCAGTGTTGGGATGAAAGAGAACAACAGCTACGATTGTCCCTCAGACGGACGATGTAGACACAGCCAAGATTCTGAGCAAATGTAGAGACCACGTCGTCGCTGAGGTTTCCAGGTAGTCGGTTGCGCACACTGACAAGTTTGTGGTATTAAAGGTGATTTGATATCATTTTAATCATCCATCCGGTGAGTCACATTTTCACTACAGGTAAAAAATATTCCGTTGTATTATGTCTACCCCACAACATTTTGCAAACGCGAGGAAAGGCGGTTTCTCACTGAAAATAGCCCAACCTTTGAAATTTGTAAATGGGCACTAGATCATTTCAGCCACATCGCCCGGAGGCTGTCTTCTCGGTTTTTTAATGGATATATAATGTAAAATTAATACATTACACAACCACAAGGTCTAGGAAATTTAAATAATCACTACTCCGTTTTGCACACAATGGTGAGAACAATTTGATACACTTACAGGTGAATATACTAATGTCACAACTCAATAATGAATAAACTTGGAGGCGGAAAGGCCTCCAGGAAGCTCTGGATTCTTATATAGTTCACCATTAACACACCTTCGGTGCCTAGCCGCCATGCTACCAGAAGGAAGCATGAGGGACATGATACTGCCAGGTCGTCAAAGCCCAGACAGGGGAACTTGGGAGGCGGAAGTTGGAGCCGAACCACAGACATTCTGGTCAGTAAATTTGTGCTCTAGCCACTGAGTCATTTTGCTCTGAAAATGCTTATATTGGGTTTAAGCGCTTAAAGCTGAGCTCTCCTGCGATTTTTGTTGCTGGACAGCTTAATAATTGGATACTAAGAAGGCTTGGCTTCAAGTTCGAGAGCTTGGAACCTTCAGGTGGGTCTCGAGAGCGGCAAGGTAATGATGCTGCGTACAGCTAGTTGGTAACACTGTTTAGATCTTCCGGTCTGTCTGGTCTCACGAAAGAATTCAAAGGCTTTTTTAGACCGACACACAAAAGTCTTATCGAAATGGTCAGATAACATTCGGCTCGGCTGTGCACCAAAGGCGAAGAACGGGGTTTATAATTGCTCAAGGATATTTACAAGATGCGTTGGATAAGTGTATGGTAAACGGATGTACCAATTACCACTGAAACTTACAAATCTCTATACCCCCGGAACAAGCGAAACCGATATATAATGGGTCTGACAGCGTTTTTACTAAGTTGTCGGCATCCAAATAATCTCATTAAGCACTTGCTTGAGCCTTCTTACTGGATTATACTCAGTGAATTTTGGAATAAACATCCGCCATCTTGAAGATCGATCCAAATGCAGGGTGAATAGGCAACGGCTGACCAACAGCGAGGAGCGATCCCGTGTCGCTTCTGGTACACGATCGAACGCAAGGATTCAAGGGAAAATCATCTGAGCTACTGAACTGAATTTTGGCTTCATTGTAAGAACTACTGGACCCAAAACAAAACACATCGGAAACAGGTGGCAACCTAGAGCACCATGAGTCGTTAGAAAGAAGCACTGAAAGTTCGATAAACGCAGGATCCGGAAGATGTGGGATTTCAAAATCCTAATGCCAATCTTGCTTTTGAAAACAAAAGCTTTTTTGTCGTGGGTGCTGGCCGGTCTACTGATGCAAGGCTTGCTCCATTCACAAAGTCGAAAGTGAAAGCGGAGTTATCTCTGCAGGAATTTATCTTAGCAAATGGCAAAGCACCCACAACTCCAAAGTTTAATTCTAGCAATGCGGGACGTTGGGAACACCCACGGTCGTAAAATATTCATATCCAGCATTAATCATATGGTTCTGGTACGGCGACAACCTTAGCTTGCTGATCAAAGGCCATGAGACGCAAAGCTCAAGGTGCACATGTTGCTCCAAAGTGAGAGTGGTATCTGCTAATGAGATAGGACTAAGCCGAATTATCCCTCCAACATGTAAGGAATTTTTTCTCCAATACATAACTCCACGGTCTAACTGATGCTGTTCGCCTAGTAAGGACTAATTAAACGCTTGAATTTTTAAATTACTCAGTAAAACAGCTGGACGGAAAGCAATGAAATACCGGAAATACCGAGACGAAGCTTCATTCTTAAGTGATTCGGTTGTCTCGCCACCCCCTGGGACTAATGGGAACTGGAGCAAATTGCTGAAAGCACTAGTAAGTTCATCTTCTCATGTCATCGACTGCATCTGTGGAAAATCGCCTAAATAATCCAAATCTTTGAAGCACTCTTTGCTTTTCCGAAAACATTTAGGCGAGAATCTGTCTGCGCTTTCGCGAGAACCTCTTACCGAAATGATATTCACGTCCCACTACAAATTTGTATACCCTGGTGCTACTCCTGGGCGAAGGTCGATCCACCGTATTTTATCTACTTTCTGCTCTTGGTTCAATGGTGACGAATTACTCCAAAACTCTCAGACCACTAAATGTCGTCTAACAGCCACAACGAAGTCAAAATTTAGCTGGCACAAGACGGAGCCGTTAGCGCGGTTATTCATGCTGAATGATGCATGATCAATTATATTTTTACCTTCCTTGGTAGCGTCCCAACTAATTCTCCATTGAATAAATAAAGCAAATTTACTTGTTCTGAAATCGATGCACCGCCCTTACTGTGGCTGGCACGGACACTGTGTCGATATTTGACCACTTGGTGAGATTCTTACCTGTTCGTCAAGCTTTGCTTACGAATATCGCGCAATCCCATCTACGGTTATCGAACACCGTCCGACTATTCTTTTACGAGATGCATCTGTTGGTGGACCTCCCTACCAACACCTAACGTCAGTTTGTATACTACGTATTCAGAAGAAAACAACTGGATGCCGTGTTTGCCCCATGCTGGCTAGAAATTTTACACACGTACCCAAGGGTTTTGCACTAGCCCAAGTTCCATTCTGGGCTTGACAAATCGTAGTGTGAATACGACGATAGAATATATTTTCACAAGGCCCACGGAGAAAACTAAATATTTACGTGTTCGAAACAAATAGGTGTATTCTGCAGGTGATCATGCTTCTACATGTTGCCTTACAAAGGGGACGCAAACTACTGCATTCTGATCCCAACTGGGAGACAAAATTGCTCTCTGAATACACCTAGGACAACCTTGATGCATCTGGTGCTGTGTTTACAAGAAATGGGTAAAATAAATTAGTACAACACAAAGAGATCTTCATAAAATGGCACCGCTGGGCTCTGGCACTTGCCGGGATGTAAGATGCTTCTGCGGACTTCGCCCAAGCTTTCTTGGTCGGCTTCATTCCAGCCGTTTAGCGGCTTTCTTTCAGCTGAAAGGCAAAAACAGAAAAAGAATTGCACCGTATCTGAAGTTTTCAACGCTGAGCATTAGGTATTCCATCTGTAGGTTGCATATAAGAAGATATGCACTGTTATGATTTGAACTAGGTCTTTGATGCAGTGTGAACAACCGCCGAAAAGAGGTTATTCCAAACATTTCCTATCTAAAACGATAAACATTATTGCCTAGCTTGAAAATCTTCCTGCCAGCATCGCCGTGTATCACTTGAGTACACAGCGAAAACCATGCTGGCCAAACCTTGTTCAAACAAGGAATAGGTAAGTAATAGGTTTCTTTAGAGGCGATGGTATTCAGGGAGAAGGAAAATAATAATCTCAAGACACGTTTCAACGGATTCGAAGCCAGAAACAATTCTCTTAGCGTCCTGAATAGATGACTAAGTTAGCGCGTTTAAATAACGGTCCAACCTCACCCTAATGGAGCATCTGGAAATGTGTGCCTAATAAGGAAGAAGGTGAGCCAAACCATCCGTAGAACGACGGATCAAGTAAGATGGACATGTTTGAAGACTGCTAACTAGCAAATTTTTAGTATCTATCTTTGTATTGTGTTCTCGTTTACTTTAGCTAAGAACGCAAACAGCGTACGCTGGAACTCCTCCAAGCGACATAAGGACGCCCTTTTTGTCACTCTTTCGAAGGCACCTGTCCGACGAACGCCGATTTGCAGTACCGACATCCATTTGGAAAGTACTGCGGTAGGAATCCCAGGATTCCCAGTCATCCGGTAAACATAAACACGGACTGGTGGCCCAACCAAGAGTTCACTGATCCAGATCAGAATAATTCCAAGACAATCCCAAGATTCAGCCTTTGGGTAGTACTTTGGAGACCGGAGCCGTGGAAGAGTATGTCAAAATGTTACATCTGATAGGGAGTCTCAGTCCGAAGTAAACTTTCCCCTTGGATGGAGCAGGACTCGCGTTCGTTGAGCCGCAGAACTTATAGGACTCGTTTGAGCGCTTTCAAGGAGATGAGCATCCTCCTGCGAAAAAAAATTTAGTTAGCGGCCACTCGAAGTTACGTTGTCACTAGACTGGATGCGATGAGGTCGTTGATGTAGACTACAGACTGGCAAGATGTTCTCTTTAGGCTTCATATACCAAACTTTGGTCATTCTTGAGTTCTCCGTTTTTCTCCATCAAGAAGAATAGAGTTGGCTTATTTTTTCACCGGCGTCTCATGGGCTTAAGTAGTAAAATTTCGTTTTTGTCGAGCGTGATTCTCCACCTTAGCCTTTTTTCGTGTTCCATTAATGGATTTCTGAATGACAGCGGTTCTGCACCTTACGCATTGTTAGCTCAACTTGTGCGTATCCTGTGAGCTTTTGGAAGAATTGTTTAGACCCATTTTCTAGGAGGCAACTGGTCTCTCCGGGTAGTATCTGGTTCGTTCGTTCGTTTGCCGTTTTATTCGGAGTGAACACAAAACAATCATCGTGAATTTTCCGGACAATGGTCTCCCCACAGTTCCATGTTTAAGCTGGGATATCTGCACGACAGAAGGTTTGAATCTGAGTTTGAGGTTCCTGGTTCGAGTGGAGTAGCAGAAGAAGTCAAAAGTCAGGGCGCATTTGTTACTGTATCCCAGTGAAGCCCTAATCGAGAAATTATCAAAAGCTGCCACCTTTTGGCAACAACATGCTCCTGTAGGCATGGTAACTGACCCACACAGTGTCTGGATGGTGCTGCAAAATTCCGAGCGCAGGCACTATGCTGAACGTCGGAACGTCGGAACGGGTGCGAAATATGCACTAGGCTTGATGCGCTGAACCTCCTTCTTGAAAGCCTCAAAATCACCTACCGATCGGAAGTGCTGGAGTAGAGCTGTCCAGGGGATTGTATGAAGAACAGGTCACTTTCTGTTGGCTCAAAAAACAACGGGAGACCACACAGATAAGATGTCGTTTCAAAACTTCTGCCATGCAGACTTCTCAGGAATGCGCATCTTTCTTGAACAAGTCACAATGGGACCAGCTCCAGTGGACAAACTATATAGGACCATTGTCCAAAAAGTTCACGAGGCTGACGCAACGCTCGTCCCAAAAACACCGGCACGCACTCGGAAGAACCGCAGGCTGCCAAAAAGGATTCAGCGACTTCTGGAAAACAGATCCCGACTCTTTTTCAAAAAGTTGACTACAGGGGATACAGAAGATGAGCTGGCATTTCGCAAAATGCGGAACCGCTGTAAATCAGAAATACTCAAATGGAACATACGAAAACAAGCCACCATTCCGGTCCTCGCTCGAAAAAACAAAGACGTCTTGTTCAAATACATGAGACATCGCCGCAGAAACAATCCATCCGCGTTCTCCTTGAGGGACAGAAACAGAGGCCTGACGAATGACCCAACAGTCGTGTCTGAGGTTTACAGAGAACACTATGCCTGTCCATACTCAGCCCCAGCGTCTTTGTCGCATCCACTCTTGTCAGGATGGAACTACGAACAGCTCCTAACCGACTTGGTCTCCGCCGTGGAGGACATTCGTCAACCCTTGCACAAGATCAACCCATTCTGCGCGTTGGGGCCTGATGAGGTCCATCCAAGGACCCTGAAGGAAACGTCCTCAACATTGGCAAATCATTTACACCTGGTGTTTCGTCAGTCGCTTGACGAAGGCCGTCTTCCCTCTGCTTGGAAGGAAGCGATTGTCACGCCAATCTACAAAGCTGGTGACCGACTATCGCCCGGTAGCTACAGGCCTATGAGCCCCACTAGCGTGGCGTGCAAGGTGATGGAACGCATTCTGAAGCGAGCTATCTTAGGTCACTTTGCTTACAGCAACCTGATATCTCCATCTCAACACGGATTTCTCCCACACCGCTCTTGCGTGACAAACATGCTCGTGTTTATGGACAGCTTAACCCAAGCCAAGGACGAAGGACTCATATTGGATGCCATATTTTTTGGCTTCTCAAAAGCATTTGATAGGGTCCCACACGTCCCACTGCTTCACAAACTCGAGTCTTACGGGATTCAAGGAAAAATCCTTCGCTGGATCAAGGCGTTCCTATCAGACAGATCATTCTAAGCGAGAATGGGCTCGATCTACTCTTCTCCAGCGCCTGTCTCCAATGGAGTCCCTCAAGTCTCCGTCCTGGGACCAGTGCTGTTTCTGATCTACGTCAACGACATCCCGGATGTTCTTGCGAGTCCATGTCTACTTTTTGCGGACTAGTTGAAATCCTGGAGTAGCAATGCTAGTGCCCTCCAAAGGGATGTAGACGCAGCCGGGCAGTAGTCGTTGGACTGGCACCTTCCTCTGAATGATGAAAAGTGCGTTCATATGTCGTTTGGAGGAGACTCAGCGAATGCCGTTGTTACGCATGGTGAGAAAGGACCAGAGAAAACACAATGAGGATAGATGCCAAAAAGGATTTGGGCATCTGGGTCTCCTTAAACTTGTTTTTCTCACTGCACCATGAGAAATCGGCCCAAAAAGCATTCGCCATTTTACGGATGATCCGACGCACCTTCTCCTCTAATGCTCGCATGGACTTCCAAATACTCTATGAGGCCTAAGTCAGACCGCTCCTGGAATACGCCAACCAAGTTGTCTACTCAGGACGCACGAAAGACATAGCCCTCATTGTGTGTGTCCGCCGAGCCGCCACGAGAATGGTTGCCGGTCTCAAATCCGTGGACTACGGAACGCGTCTCGTATGCCCGATCTCTTTCCCCTGAGCACCGTCGGCCTCCGAGGGGACCTAGTTCTTACTTATGCATCCGTGAATGCCCTGTTTGATCAAAGCTTGGCACACAGGTTTTTTACCGTTGACCCAGCAAACACAAGGCGGGGACAAATTAAGAAAATCTTCAGGCTCAGAGCACACACACTCATTAGATAAAGGTTTCTCTCATTTCGGGTAGTAGATGCATGGAAAGACCTTCCTCCGACGGTTGTTCATGCTCCTTCTAGAACCCAATTTAAAGCACCATTAGACACTTATGTATGCGAATCCTCGCGCTGGCGAGCATACTGCCCCGCGCTGAGAACAGTGCTACACCCTTTTTTCACTTGTGCTTTTCGGGTGAACAACAGCCACTGACTGACAAGAGCAAAAGCGACCCGGTAAACTTGGGCAATAGCCTCGATCATGTGTATCAATCCGTGAATCCGTGATCCCTTGCCGTGGTACCCGCTATGATTTTCAGTTCCGGCGTCGTGATACTACTTCACTTAATACAGTTCCATTATGCGTCATACAAATTATAATGTGTTCACCATTGGGCCAAATGCTCCCGTAAACTTACCTGGATGTATCCAGTTTAGCACAGCCTATGATATTTGTAACTGACTGAAAATAATTGGCCACACTGAAGGTTTCACTGCACCTTGACCTTGATACAGGCAGGCATTTGGAATGGATACTGGGTTATCGTGCTCGGTGATCCACATCATAAAATCATAAAAAAACCTCTAAGTATTCGAGTAAGGACGATTTTTGGTGCTTTACTATATCCTGGAGTTACATGTGAAGAAAATATATGGATTTACTGCTCAAAACGGATACAGTGTTATTGTACGAAGAAATACCGTGAGCATGAGCACATAAGTTTCCACAGCGACCAGGATTTTCGTCACTAGCGATGTCAGCCTAACGATGCATTAGGAATAACTAATGCATCATTAAGTTTGTCAGTATGTTGTGGATGATACATCTGACGATCAATCCTCGGCTTCTAAGAAGACCGATTTTCAGAATATGATGGTCCATATATGTCACATGAACTGTTGGATATATGCGAAGACACTTTCAGAATTTTTTCCTGGTTACTCATAATCTGCGTGCTAGAACATGCGAATAAGTTCTGAATATGTGGTCCCTCCATGGATGTCAGGCAAGTTGTCGAAGTGTGGAAGCTCACAGAAATGTTGAATCAGCTATTCAGACACACACAGAGCAGAAAACTATGGGATTTTGTCAAAACCAGACAAGTAAAGAACACCTTCGGACAAATCATGACTAACCTGAGTTCAAGCCATCCTACAAAAGCGCTGCAGGAAATACTGGAGCAAGATTCCGGAAGCATTGAACATGGCAAACAAAAACTCATCGTAACAAGGAGTTGGCTTGTCCGGATGCTTAAAACTTATTTAAGTTACGTTCTACAAACACAAAAGTCGCGGTGGACAGTCACGGCTAGCAACGAAATCTCCCCCGGTGACGGAACAATCGATGCGAACTCTTGAGGGCACTGAGATGCCGTGGCTGGAGGACCACACACCCAAAAAGACAAGAATGTATCCTACAATTTTTCAGCAACCATGGCAATGTGTAGCCGGTTAATAAATGCAGGAGATACGCTGGATGTATTGAACGTGGGAACATTCATGGCATTACCACGCAATGCTTTTAGGCCTCTCAGGGAAGGCTGAATTCTCTACCTGAATTAAACTTTCCTCTAGTCCCTAAAGGAACGAGTTAGGCGAGTTTTGGATGCATTTATGTGCACGCGTTAATTACTGTAACCGGCACGACATTGATTACTCAGTGGATGTTCCTGCATTACGAAGGCTTGTGAAGTCTGTCAGGAAATTGAGGAACATTGCATGATTGCACATTTGTGTACGCGCTTCCGCTGGATAGATCACACTACTTTGCTACATTCACTTCAACATACCGAAATTGTTGGATGTCTGAACATTTGGACGGACTCCCATGTCCGACAACATATGTCGAGTTAAAGGGTCCTTCTTTGAACCCAGACAGGCCACCAAGGAATTCCACAAGGGGTTATAAGCCGATTGTTTACGATGTTTACCGGTTCGCTGCAGACCTCCTGAAGTAAGGTCGTCTACTATTTGCAGTAATATAGAGCTATGTAAAAAGACAAACTCCACCACAGATGAGTTGAAAATAAAAGGCATTTGGTGTAATCTGACGAACTGGTGGTACTACAACTGCGTGTTATCATCGAAAGATCTGCGTCGATTGTAATGGGGTGCACTTGAGGTACACAAAAATACTGCGTTAAATTTGTGTTCGCTTCAGCGACTTGGACGGAACAAGGCTCAGGATCTCTCATGTTGAATAACATTTAAGTGGATCCACGTGATACAGCCAACGTCTCAGCATTGTGCAGGCTCAATAATATGTTTCAAAAAGTAGTTCTAAGCTATCAAGCGTGCTTAACGCATTCAGACTAAGCTTTACTCTCCCTGCATCCAAGGCAAGGAACGGTAACTGGAACATGGAGAAATGTTTAGCGGATGCATTATTTAAGAGCGTGGAGACGACTTTGCGGTCAGCGTGAGGCAGTTAAGCTTTTTGCGCCTACATACGGACAAACGTATATAGACGCAGAGCCATAGTGCTACTTTTTGTGGTTGAAAAGCCAGGTTCTACCGAAACAGAAAATGAGTGCTATCGGCTTCCTGAAAAACCCGATATTACAGAAATAGTGTGAGTAATCCGAAATTCCAAGACAGACATCGTGAAAGTTTAGTGTCATAGAAATATCCAAGTCTGGGGAAAACTGTTACGCATTTTGTACTGTTGAAGCAGGCCATCAGGATGAACAATCACAAGGTAACCATAATTAGATTTCAGGTAAAATAGGCTAGAGAGACTGACCGAAATGGGGCGTGTTGTACTAAGGGGAAAACCACTAGGCACGATGTTTTGCCTTACAGTAGTCGATATAGGTGGTTTGAAAAGCGCTCAAAGGGGATGCTGCGTAAAAATAACAGCAGCGGCGTGTAAAGGCTAACGTAAACCACGCGCACTGAAAAATCGCTTTGTTTTACGATAAGGTAGTGCACTGAAAAATCAAAATACTCAAAAAGTTACCATTCACAGATGGTGCTTCCAAGAGGCGCCGGAGCTGACTGTCAGTGCACCATCTTCTACACCCTATTTAACGCAAACTCCACCAAAAGTTTCTAGGGCGCTAGCAGAGAGACTATTTCAAAACATGTATCGTATGTGCAGCTGCCAAAGCCGTGTCCGTAAAGTTTCTCGAAGGAACTCAGGCCTACTACCTACAAGAAAAGACCAAGTACCAGACAGAGTTAGGTGCATGTCCACGGATATCTTATCGTCTGACGCTGTCAAAGAACTTGATAACGTAAATAGCAACAATCTTATTCTGTGAATAATCAATCTTGAAAACAACTGCTACCCTAAAGTTCTTTCTCCTTGTAAGCTGAAAATGTGGCGTGGGTTTTAAATAGTTGAGGACCGGACCATACTGTATAATGATGTCGATGGGCACTGAAAAATAGTAAACCGCACGCAAGTATCCAAAACGAACCACTCCTCATTGTCGGAACGGCAAAAATTGGGAAACGTTTTGCACAGGCAAACGGACAAAAACAAAAACTGGAGCAGGATATCGGGATATCTTTGCGCAAAACTCTACAGCTGTGCTCTGTGCATACCGTTTTCAAGCTTTATATGGAATGCGACAAAACAACAGTACTTCTATGCACCAGAATAAAAGGGCTTACCGATCATTGGCGACCGGTGCACCTCTCTTCGAGCACCCTGCAAGTGGAAGCAATGTATGTGCCACCTTCAACATTTTTACGTCAAACTATCGAGGATGTCGTAGGGATAAGTCACTGGTTCTCAATCTACTGCTTCTAGACGAGCGTCTAAATCTTCCACTTTTGTCTAAAATCAAAGACTTAGGGACGCTTCAAAGAGACATTCTCAAATTGAACGATGCTATTTCTAAAGACGTGTCGCGCACAGAATGGTTTTTATGAAGAGCAAAGTAACCGTAGCGCTGCATCTTTTTGGCGAATCAACTGTTTTGGGAAACGCGGGGCTAACAAAATTCAATCAAACCCCAAGGAGTCCAAGAGAAACAGACAGTCGTCTGTAGTGTGTTGTTTGTTTTGACGTTAATCTGGACTAAACATGGTTTCTTGAGGTCAAGTGATTTTTAACTTGTGGTCTAAAACAATTTTCACACTATCGTAAGCCTGCCTTTCGAAATATTTAACCTCTATCTACGGTTGTTGTTTTATATCTCATAAACAGCTTTTCCAAAACTGCCTGCTACTAATTCAGTGAGATTTTTAAGGATCTTTGAAACTTTGAAACTATACCGACACCTGCAGTTAGATTTCCACCAAAGTTGTTTCCTAACCACCTGCTGCAAAACTAAGACTCCCCGGTAAATCGCAGTGGGTGTTGTTTTGTTGCAACTTGTTCAAATTTGTGTGGTTGAATATTTGAATACACACAGACGCTGGACTTGATACACGTATTTCCTTATTCTTCCGCCACTTAATCACACTGTGCCATATTGCAACATTTGTTTACTTGCGTTAAGCCATATGTGACGGCCTCGCAAGGCTCAGTAGTTGTGGGTGCTACGTGCATGCTTCAGGGATGCACGAGATTGGCATCTGTGTGGTTCCTACGAAAGCCCATATTCCGACTGACGAGTTTTACTCTTTGATCTCTGAGTCCAACATTATGGTAGCAGCATCCAGTTATTAATGACCTAAAATAAGAAGAATGGCATCTGCTGTCAAATTTTTGTACCTCATGTTAGTCAAGAACGCCTGTCCGTGACCATACAGGAAGTTGCATCCTGACAAAGGCTTTAAAAATATAGAAACTCTCCATTGTGATTATGATGAAGTCAATTTGAGCATATCTTCGTAAAGCCTGCAAAATTCCTGATGGGCCTCAAAGATTCGCGAGTTTGCCATATATATATGCCGGTCGGTCCTTCGTTGCAATGCAATGCAATGAATCTATCGGTAAGCAAAACATTTGCATCTTAGTCGAATTAGTGTTCTTTGCACTAATAGTCAATGAAAATAGTCAAGAAATGGACTTTTCTACAATAGACTCTAGGGTGGCCTATTGGTTTTTAACAAATACCTGTCGCGTCATATGGTCAGTTGCTAGCTTCCATGACTTTTGGCCAAAAATAAACCAGGCTTCAGTACGAACCACCAGGCCGAAGGCACCTTAAAATTGAAAACCAGCCTTCGGAGCTGGAAAAAACCACAACGCGCAATCAGTTTTATAAGAATAAGCCGATTTTATTATCATTGTTTTATCATTTTTTATCATACCAAACCCAAAAAACACTTTACCTCGTAAAACCGTGAACAGGTCGTCAGCCTCAATCCGGAGTTTTTCAACCATTTTAAGCGCATTATAATATGAAAATTTCACACAACGTCGTCAAAGTTGTGTTTGCTGTATTAGGAACCCGCATACGTAACCCCCAAAAACTTACCAGTGAAGATTTATGTTTCGTTGACTCAAATCCACTGAAAATTTGTTATACAAAACTAGGCCGGCGAATTTATTTGGAAGTATATACGCAAAAAGTGTTTCATGTTAATCTGTGCATACACGAATTCTAAAAGTGTGTTTTTTTGGGCTTGGGACATCTAACAAAGAGCGGTGGCACGGACAGGGAATTCATAAACAGATGTGGACACTTGTAACATGCTATCGAGCCCATTGTCCCCAAAACTACAAACAACAATATGAGTTATGCGACGTTACCGAGTAGATGATGTGTATATTTTAAATATGGTTTATATATAAGCCAGAGTGCTCCTGGGTAAAAAAAACGTCAAATGCATCAATGTATCCGGAGAACGGCATGATATGCAGTAAAAGTAACACAAACCAAACGAATCACACACGTTTGAAGCATGAATTCATCAGAAGGTCCAGGATAATGTCAAAGGCGGATCAAATTTCTTCCTGAAATAACAGTAAGGGACCTTATCAAGAGCCAAATAAGCAATGTAATCAGCTGGAGTTTGCCACATACATAAGGTTACCTGGAAGCTAAAGCTGGTCACTGATAACGCCATCAATTACCTTCGGCAAATTTATAACGAAACATTGTAAGCAAATTGATACAAGTGGCCATAGAAGTCATGTGGATAACATATTAACCAAAGCATTCGACGATCTTTCAAACGGATTTATGTGAAAGCGATCAAAACTACGGACAAGAAGTTCACAAACCTAACGACGGACAAATCAATCATCTGGAAGACCATTACGTATAAAACGGAATAAAAAAATACTGCCAAATGAGAACAATCGGGGGTTGGATGTGAGAAGCGCAACCGAGCTAAAACTGAAGGACAGAAAGACTCACGCATTTCCGTTCTCCATGTGCATCCAGGAAGTCACATTGAACTGTTCAATTAAGAAGGACGAAAATCCTCCGAAGATGGGTGGCTTCTAATTGCGCTTC